GTTGCCAAGCCACTGAGATCACTATTGTTGACTCAGATTCAGGAATAAGATTAGAGCAGGAAAGCTGTCGAATGGCCCTGGAGTCAGGCCTGATTGTGATTCTGCTTGCTGTCTGCTGCTGAGGAGGCTGTGAGCTGACATCAGTGGTCCCAGCTCCTGGATGTGGCAGTGAAGAGTGTACTGTTTTCCATGGGCTCTTTCTGGAGGCCAGCGTTGAAGGCGCTATGGTGTTGGGGCGTGGTTTGCCCTGTGACGGATGAGTAATGGTCTGCATCTCTTCCCGTGTTGTGTGAGAGGTGGAGTGCCAGCTTAGAGAAAATTGTAGATACTGTTCACAGTTCTTAAGCTGATAAATATACAGCACTAACCAAGGGTTTATTCAGAGTCAAAATGAGGTGCCATATCTTATACGTTGTATCTTAGGCTTGAGCTCCAAAAAGGATTGCAAGTCCTTTGTCACTTTTCCCAACTAGTGGGCAGAGGGAGCTCCTTCACAGATTTTCTAGAATTTGCTAAAGACCCCTTCTTTGTCCTTATCGATTTATCTGACTTTAATTCCAAAAGGGGGAAGTAGGCCAGTTTGATGCTTTACTCAGGAGGAAAAAGGAAATGGTCATGATGTCAGAGCCTGTGTGTCACTGCAGCCCCTGGCTTGACTCCTTTTGTGGTAGAGGTGTGATTTTTCAGTGCTATCTATGATTGTTCTGGGGGGTGGGGTCATGTGTATCAGAAGCACCTGTGGCTGCTTTCTTTTCTTTTTTAAACTATATACACCTGGCCTTCTCCCCCCATAATTTTCATCCTACTGCATACTTGCCATCTTTTCCCCTCCACGTGCCACCTCCATTGGCCCCAGTGATAACTAATTTTTGGAACATTTACAGTGTATCTGACACTTTGAAAAACTTTATGAACGTCTCATTTAACCTTCACAATGACTCCTTGAAGTAGGTACTGTTTAAATCTGCAGTGTAAAGGATAACATGGAGTAGTTCAGTTACTTGTCCTCTAGGCATTTATGCAGCAGCAAAGCACCAGAATCAGGATAACTAGTGAGCCTAAATTATTGATGACAAGGCCTGTCTCTTCACTTTGTATGTATGTATATATGTATTTAAAGATTTTATTTATTAGAGAGGTGGGGAGAGAGAGAGAGAGCGCGCGTGCAAGAGAGAGAGAAAGAAAGAAAGGGCAGGTGGGTACGAGAGTATAAGAGTAGAGGGAGGGAGAAACAGTAGTCTCTCCACTGAGCAGGGAGCCTGATGAGGAGTTTGATCCCTGGATTCCGGGATCATGACCTGAGCCAAAAGCAGACGCTTAACCAACTGAGCCACGCAGGTGTCCTTCTCTTCAGTATTTAAAAGACTTTTTTAAAAAGTTGAGGTGTAATCCCAGTAAGATGCACAAATCTTAAGTCCATATCTTTATGACAACCCCCCAACCCCTACCTGTGTAACCACCCTGATCAGGTTATAGAAAGAACATTGCTGTTACCTGAGAAGGCTTCCTTCTGGTCATTGTCATACCTTTTCCCCAAGATGAAATCACTTTTCTGAATTCTGTCACTATAAATGACGTTGACTAGTGTTTGAACATCATATCAATGGAATCATACTGTTAGTAGTCTTTTGTGTCTCGATTGTGTTTTTCATTATTATATGAGGGAGCCTGATGTGGGGCTCTATCCCAGAATCCTGGGATCATGACCTGAGTGGAAGGCAGACAGTTAACTGACTGAAACATCCCAGGCGTCCCAATCATCTTTAAACTAGTAGACTGTACTGCCAACGCACTGTGGTGCTTAGAGGAGGGTTTAGTTCTTTTTGATGGTGGAGGACTTGAGTGGTCAATATCTGCTCTTTTTGGGCTAGAGCACCTTTACATTTGCTGTGGTCTTGTGTCCAAGGGTGAAACAATAGACTGCTGGGTTGAGATCCTGGCTCTTGAGACTGTGGACAAGGTCTTTAACCTATTTGACCTTTTGTTTTTTTCATCTGCTCAGTGGGGTAATGAGAGCATACTTAGCACATGATGTAGTTGTCTAGATTAAATGAGCTAATTTATGTATAGTGCTCAGCACAGCACCTGACACATCCTCCTAAGTTATTATTATTATAGTTTTAATTCCATTCTGGTTTTGATAGTTTCATAATTCTTTGTAGAACTAGAAAGAGCTCATTTACTTCAGTTTTCTTTCATTGTTTTATATTTTCCCTTGCTCACTGAACACCTGCCTCTGGAGTTCTCTTTCCCTTTCCCCTTCTCCATTTTTGTTGTGAAAAGCCAGATGCATTTAAAGTATGAACTAATAAGCTGGTGCCCTTAGAAATGTGTCCTATCTTACAGGGACTGACATAGAAAGTACAGGATCATAGAGAGTTTTGCCCATTTTATTTTGTTTAGAGGAATGGTGGCTAGTAGGAACAAAGGGGGAATATGGAAAGGGACTTATTGCTTGATTCCAAAATAAAGCTGACCCTTTCACCTTGGTTCTTGGAAATTAACACACATAAGAGATTTATGTAATTATAGTTTAAATTGTAATGAAGGAGAAGAAACTTGGAGCCAACAGAGTGTTTTCTAGATGCCTAGAAAGGATAGTACTGTGATCCAGAGGTCATACTGAGAGAAAATTACCTGAACTTGGGAGATAGGATTAGAACTAAATATTAAATCCATCTTATTCAGTTCTGTACTACCCACTCCCACAAAAAAGGGGAACAAAACCACATGTGGAAAAGAACTTACATTTTGATATTTCTTCTTGAAATGAAAACAAATCCTGTTGACTTTCCTGGTTACTAGGGCCAAGTGGCCTCTGAGTTTGTCTGAACTTCCTCTTTGTGGCTCTGGGTGGAAATATCACACTGTGTGCCATGAAGTTGATGTGACATCTGCAAGGTCCCTGAAATCTTGGTATGCTAGGCAACTATTGTGGTCTCACTGTTTGCTGGTGAGCACCTAGCAGGAAATGAACTGGAGACTTGTTGGCTGCTTGACCGTAGTGTATACCGGAGGGTGTCTTTGCTCTTAAGTGTTGGGGGACAGGAAGGAAAGGGTGGGGGCCTGTGGCCAGCCAGGGCAGTGGGCCTCAGACCTAACTGTGCACAGGATCACCTGTGGAGTTGGTGAAAACCCAAATTCCCAGACCAAGCCCAAAACTTCAGATTCATTAAGGTGGTTTCAGGCTGAGAATCTCCGTTTTAAGGGAATGCCCAATTCTGAAGCTGGTGGTCCAGGCACAGCACTTTGAGCAACATTCAAAGGTTCAGGTCCAGCACCTTGAGAGTTCTGTGGTAGACTGCAGCTTCGTAGACTTTTTTTTCTATATGCTGTTAAAGCATTGCGCTTGAGGTGGAATGGTAGAAGCAGTCCTCCACAACTGAAAGCCAAGGATCAGCTCTGTGGAGCCATGGCTGCCAGTAGTCTGCAGACATTCATTCTGACATACTAAACGGGCTCATGGTGGGAAGTGGGCATTTGAGTCTGAGAATGAAAATTTCTGAGAAGAGGAGGGCGAGGGTCCTGGCAGGGGCTGGTGGAATAAAGGGCTTACTGTATTTTCTGAGTTCTCTTTGTGTTAGGGTGCTACTACTCAGGATGGCCTTCACAGGACAGACTGCCTCTGGGAAATTACTGTTCTCATGCTCAACACCTTTACATCCACCCACACACCCACCTACCACGACTGTTGTCTACTTCTACCTGCACACGGGGAACGTGTGCACACACACTCACACCATACCCTAGTGCCCCTCAAATCCCCAACCCCTTTATGCTTACATCATTGGAAATGTTTTTCCTGAGTGGTGTTGAGGGATAATCAATGAAAAGAAGCAACTGTAATATTTAAAATATATTCAACATAAATAGATCTGGCATATTCACTGGAACTATGGAAATAAGTCAGGACCAGTGATTATATGGGTTAGAATGAATAGACTTGTGCTGCTACAAGTATGGCCAGGCCCATATGTGTTTCATTACCGTATTGATCTGGGATCATTAACCATACCATAGACTCAGACAGTAATAGGACTTAATTCTTGCTCAGTGGGCAGGCCTCTTCCTCTTAGGCTTTCTTAAACTTTAAAGATGAGGGTAGTTCATCTTTAAAGTGAGTAGTAGTTCTTCACTTTTTGAGGGTTGCAGTCTTTTTTGATAATGGGTGAGACTGTTAATACAGAAAAACATATATACATTTGAAGATGGAACTGTGGTTTATTGGCTCTCTGGGACCCATCTGTGGACCCTAAAAACTCCTGCTTTAATGAGCACAGAGGGCTTTTAGCCCTGTCTCCCAAAGATATTTTCATTGGCACAAGTCTGTTCTTATGGAGTGCCATCTGTAAGGGGAACTCAACAAACACCATTTGATTTTGTATGTGAGCTTTCTGGAGGGTTTGTGCTCAGTTTGAAAGAGCAAGCAGATTTCAATAAGAGTGAAAAGAGGTAATGCATGTAAAGAACTTAATACCTGACATGACAAATATTCACTTAAAAAAACTATATACGTTTAATTTAATTACAAAGCCAGTTACCTTCATAAAACATTTTCATGTCAAAAGGAATTTAGAAGCCTTGGATTAGAGATTAGGAGACCAGGATCCCTTCACTTGGTTGTTCCCCCTCTTTTTAATCTTGAAACCAGTAATTCTATTCACTTTAATAAATATGAATTGTATTCCTACTGTGAGTAAAGTTCTCTGTTTGGAGAATAGGAGAATAAGACCTCAAGGAACAAACAGGGTCTAAAGGAATCACTGTAATCATTTGGGTCCCTTAACTCTAAGTAGGGTGATGTCTGCTGTGTTTTCTCCTAGCTCCCTGAGGGAGATGGATTTATTCAGGGGCATTCAGGAGATGACTTTGCTTTCTGAGACTGGAAAGCTGTGTATGTTCCTGTCTTCAGGTTGTTAATCCCAACAATCCCTCACTCTTTGTCAAGGTCTCTCTACCTGTGACACTGGGTTCATTTCTGTGTCCTCCTTTCTCCACAGGCCAGGGGTTATCACCATGCAGGCATTGTCGGAAGAGGACCGGAGGCTCTGGATGGAAGCCATGGATGGCCGGGAACCTGTAAGTAACAATTCAGGGAAGTAGAACAGAAATAAAGACCCTGAGTTTTTTGTTGCTTCCCGAGTGCACTGATTTTTGCTCTTGATCTAAAGCCTTGGTTTCTCAAGATCAGTGTACCAGAGGGCATCTGGAACTGACATTCCTAGATAGTGATACTGCTTCTGTGTGGCTAGTCCCCGAGCTTTGGCCTCTCAGTCCTTCGGGCCTCTCAAGCTTGTGATACTCCCCTTTGCCCAGGCAGGTGTAGTGTCCTCAGTTCTCTTAGAGGAGGCAGAGTCTGGCCTACTGAACATTGATGTCTCCATGAAGTGGATGCAAAGCATTATCTGAAACCTATTTGAGTGAAATAAATTATTATAAAAGTGTATACAGATTATGTAGTATCTTTTTTCATTGTCTTGTGGTTCAGCCTCCCCTTGCCATGGTAGCCGCATCCGTAGTGGGATTATCAGTGTAGATGGAAGAATCTATGCCTGCTGGTGTGATCTGTGCTCCCATTTTTGAGTTGCTGGCCTTTGCTGGGTAATATAGTCTTGTGGTTTTTCTGCATCTTGTGACATGTTAAACACGTGAAGGCCCTAGGAGAGTCCCTAAAGTCAAGAACAGTGGCCTTATCTTGGTGCCAAGGATCTCAACTGCAGTGTTCAGCAGATATCAGGGTTATAGAACCTAAGAAAACAATCTAACCATGTTCCTCAAGCAAAAGATAAAAAGAATCTACAATGTCAGAGGGCCAGTAGTTATCACTTGCAAAGGCACTATCCAGAGGGGGAAATATGTGCAGGGGACATTAGGCCATAGTCTCCATTGAGTACGGAACTCTGTGTAAAGATGGGTATCCAGTATAGATGATTCCAGCTCATTTGTGATGTCTCTTTTTCAGTCTACCAGGGTTAGGTGATCTATACTGATGGATGGGTCTTTCTGCTCAGCTATTTTGTATATAAACGTGAAACTCTATTCAATCAACTGAGCAGAAACAAATAACTTGTGTTTGGATAGCATTTAATAACATAAGCAAGATTTAAAGAGCCATTTAAAGTTTGGAACAGCTAAATTCTAATTGAACGTTATTTAACCTTAACTCTTCTCTTGTGCTACATATAAGATACCCCCTTTTTTCCTCTGAATAAGTTGTTACTGATAGAAACTCTCAAAGCAGATATGCATTTATTCTTTTTTAAAACCAGGACATTTATAGTGTGACTAATTGTTGAAATCCTTAAGATGAACTGGTTTCTGCCATAGCTGCCCTGTGAGTTGAGGTGTTATTCCTTCACGGAATCCAGGCCTGAATCTGTGGTAGATAACTTTTAGGTGTCTCATTTGACTGGTCCCAGTGGTATTTTGTCTTTTAGCCTTGCACCACTTCAGTTATACTTTCTCTTTCATTTAGCAGGATAGCCACATTTGCCACAGGTCAACTTCTGAAGGTGGTAGACCTTAGAGCCACAGCGGCAGCACAATGTGTGTTTTAACACTGTGCTTTCCAAATGATGACACTCCTTTCATCATTTGGTTTCTGCAGCCAAGACTGAAGAGACTGGAAGGGAAGGCACATCTGATATATTTTATATATATATGTGAAGGCACATCTGATATATTTTATATATATATGTATGTATATAAAATATTATTATATATTTGTTAAATTTATTTAAATTTATTAAATTTAAATTTAAAATATTTTAAATATTATAAAATAATATTTTACATATATATAGCAGGTAGATATTGCTAACATTAGGGTTTTGTGGGCATGGTAAATGCTTGTTGTCAGATTCCTTTGAAAGCCGCTTCCTAGTTTGTCCTTTACCTTTGCTGCTATCACCTACTTAATCGAGCACTTAATCGAGCACTTTTGTGTGTGTAAGTCATGGATTTGGCATATTACATGCCTTAACCAATTTATTTTTCTTAGTACCTTATTAAATAAAAATAATCTTAGGACATCACAAAATACTACCATTTTATAGTTGAGGCAAGTGAGCCTTAAGTTCAGTAGCTTGGCTCAGTAGCACAGAGAGTAAGTGGCTGTAATGGTAGTGTGCAGGTTAGGTTGCCATAATAAGGAGACTCCAAAGTATAGTAGCTTAAATAACATAGAAGTTGATTTCTCTCTCCAAGCCTGGAAGTGAGCAGTCCGTGCTTGCCGGGTCATTCTGCCATACTCAGCCCATGACTTTCCAGGTTGCTGTACTAGTCATTGCTATTTTTCAGCCAGATAATGGAGATGAAAGTATCCAGAACCCAGGGGGTGCACATTACTTCCATTGGCCCTAACATACTTACATTGGCCACATCTGACTACAGAGGAGGTTGAGACATCTGGGTTGAACATAAGCAGCCATGGGCCCAGCTAGTATCCCAGGTATTTTATCACTTTCAGGAAAAAGAAGAGAAAACTAAAGCGTGGTTGAGAGTTTCCATCATAGTGGCAGAGGTGAATTTGAACCTATGTGTAGCCCTAGACGTGTTGGTTTTTATCATTAATAGAGGTAAAATGTGAAACTGCCTTCTAAGAATTCTCACTCATTTCATTTTTATAATACTTTATATCTGACTCTCTTGAATGATTCTTCAATTATAGGGAAGGAAATACCCAGGAAGAAAAAAATCTTGTCAGGGCATACTGTTCTTGGCGTGGATAAAAACTCCACTGTTTTTGGGTCTCCCCACCCCTTATAAGCTGCAGTTCTACAACTGCTTCACCAACTCCACTTTAAACGTTCCCTTCCTCCCTTTCTCTACCACTTGATATTTGTTCTCTGTATGTAATTGGTCTTACTAACCACTTGAGTTTTCCCGTAGATTAAATCCCGTAGATTTCCATCTGGCTTCTGCAGATGGAAAGTGTGCTGTTGAAAGAAACATCTCCTTGCCTCCAGAATGTACACATTAAAAAAAATTTAAACAAAAAATAATTCTGTTTCTAAACATAATATAAAATTATTTCCTCACAGGAACATATAGCTTTCTTTGAGAACCACATCTCTGTGTACTTTTCAGTTTCCTCAAGAGAGAGAAACAGACAAATGATAACTGCTTAAGTAGCAGGAATTATTAGGCTTAATTTTGTCTCCCATTGCTAAGAGCCTCAAGGGAGCATTCTTGGAGATAACATACCCAGTAGACATTTAGCAGCTCCAGTTTTAATCACAATCTCCCTAGTTAGTTAAATCTGTCCCCTTAGAAGTTTTGGCTTTGGTAAGAGAAGCTGAAACCTGTTTCTCTAGATGGTCTTGGAGTGTTTGCTTTATATCAGGGAGATTATAACGGCAGTACCTAACTTTTGTTTTTGTACTTAGAGCTCAATTGTTCTGTGAATGATTATTCAGTGTTGGATTCTTTTTTTTTTTTTTGGAGAGAAGTAACTTTGGTTTGCATCCTTCTTGTTCTTTTATCGTTTAATAACACTTTATGATGGTTGGTTGGAAAAATAGTCTAAGTGAGCCCTGAATTAGTTGATTTTACACTGTTTTAGCTAATTGTTATATAAATTACAGTTTTAAAGAATTTTTTAAAATTTATTTATTCATAATGACGCACACACAGAGAGAGAGGCAGAGACACAGGCAGAGGGAGAAGCAGGCACCATGCAGAGAGCCTGATGTGGGACTCCATCCAGAGTCTCCAGGATCACGCCCTAGGCTGCAGGCGGCGCTAAACCGCTGCGCCACCGGGGCTGCCCTAAATTACAGTTTTTAGTGCTCAGTGACTTTCTAGTTGAAAATAATTTTGAATGTCTTTATGGTATTCATGGATATATAATGGAGGAAGAAATTAGAGTTGTGGTTCTGCAGTGAACATTATAGTTTTTATCTGTGTTGCAAATTTGAATTCAAATGAAGGAAGCCTCATTTATAATTGGCCTGGGAAAAATCTGGATTTATTGGCTTATGGAACTGAAAAAAATTGGGGTATATTAGTCCTGGGCCATCTGAATCTAGCAACTTCCATAATATTTGGAGTTGGTTTCTTCTTTTGTGTTGATGTTGTTTCTAGTAGATTCTTTCCAGATAGTGGTGATAAACTTCCAAACTGTTCAAGGCTTACATTATATTATCAAGAACAGGAGTTGTGAAACTTATTCTGTTAATGGGTCAGATAGTAATTATTTTAGGCTTTGGGAGTCCTCTGGTCACTATTTTAGCTCCTCAGTTTTGCTGTTGTAGCTCAAAAGCAGCCACTGACAATGTGCAAATGAACAAGTATGACTACATTTCAATAAAACTTTATTTACAAAAATAGGTAGAAGCTAGATTTCAGTCATGGGCCATACTTTGTTGATCCCTAATCTGTAGGTCTAGTGGGAAGAGAGCCTTATGTAATAACTTTAAAGAAGTCCCATATTTAAATTTTCTTGGACTAAATACTTGGACCAGAGGGTGGAATAGATGAATTGGCCAGATCTAGCTCACTTGCCTACTGTGCTAGAACTGTCGTGGTGGGGAATATTGGCTTCCCCTCAGGGAAGAATCAAAGCATTGTTATATAAGGAAAGGGGGAAGACATGAGGTAGGCAAAAGTGACAGCTTCTCCCCACTCTGGTATCTATATTTCAGTTTCTATTCGAAGAGCTTGTTCTTTGATGCTTAGCCAAGAGGGAAAACCACAAGTTTACCACTAGCATCATACTTAATCATGAAAGACTGAATATTTTCTCCCTAAAAATGGAAAGAAGACAAAGATGTTCACTTTTAAGTTTTATTCAACATAGTACTGGGAGTTGTAGTCAGAGCATAGGGCAAGAAAATAAAATAAAAGGCATACAGATGTGAGTATATAACTTTTTTTTTAAAGTATATAACTATTTTTAAAAAACTCAATCAGCTAGTTAGTAAGATAAAGCTTCAAGGTGATTCTGCTAGATTTTCGTAACTTTCTGTTAAATCTGGGTTGACAAGTTATAGATTCACCATTGTAGCCACATAAGCTTTTATTTCAATCTTCTGTGACAATAGTCTCAGGCTTGGGAACAGACCTTCCCTATTATATTG